TAGAGGTCCTGCTTTCCAGTTTGAGAACCACTGATTTAGCCCATTACCCTTATCCTATAGGACTGATCATCAGCACACTGCTTGAAAACAGTAACACTGACAAACAGAGCATACAACACAAACCTAGTCACTCTGAGAAATTAAGATAGCCCTTCTGCTGCAATAGACATCTTGCAGTTCCACACATCTCCCTAAAATGCAGATACATCATCTGTATAAAGAAATTACAGAATTGTACTTTTAATGCATTAAAACATACAACCCAAGTACTCACTTGTATCAACAAGAACAACATAGTTTATATACACATAGAAATCCTCAGATGGAGAGACTATAGTTCCAGAGTGCCTTACAGAACTACTAGGATTGCATTCCTCCTTCCATTTTAACAAATGGAAAAACTGACAGATTTTGGGACACACAGAGATTTTTCATGGATTTGTCTGGTGCTAGATCTTTGTAAGCTCCTTCTCATGGATTCCTATGGACCTATTCCACTGAAATTATCCCACACTGAGTGCTTTTGAATGCCAAGCACTGACATGAGCCAGGCAAGATTATCCATGGTTTAGACGGCACAATTGCTCTAGCCCAGTGCTCAAGAAAAAAAGATGTAGTGTGCCTTTTCTTTTTCTCCATCACTTCATGAATCCCCAAGTGCTTCTATTGCTGTCAACATTTTGTATGTTACTTCCATTACTTCCAGTAAAAATGCATGGAATTAGGCTATTAGTCTCATTGAGGATGTAGAGCTAAAAATGGGTTCACATATAAAGAGTGTAGAGCTGTTCTCTGTGGTGTTCTGTATTTTATTTAGCATTTATTCATTTGTTCATTTTTCTATGTCATTACTCCTCAAATAGTGTGTACACAAAATGGGCTCAGTTATTGCTACTGCTCTAGGGTCCCAACCACCTTCATTTGGTCTTGGTCTTAACTTTGGTCCTATTAGATCATGAAGCAAAGACTCCCCCTCCCCTTTCCAGGATGAGTAAACTGATATCTAACATTGTTTAAATGTGCATTGGATGCAAAGCACGCCAAACATTCCATCACAACCACACCAGATGTGTTTTATTCTCCTGTCTCTTTTGCTGCAAGAAACACTCCCTAGACTAGCCAAAGGATCTGAAGAACAAGTCCATCAAGTTGCACCTACACCCATCTGGTGAGCAGGTGCAAGG